ACTTTTACCAGAATACCTGTATTTCAGACTTATGACATATAAACTGTTCTAAAGGACCCAACTGAAGGGGTTACTCAGGAATGAAATAGGGAGGATAGTAAAGTAGCAGTGATGATCTAACAGAAGCTAAAATATTAATTTTGCAGTGTACCTGACAAGTACAGTTTTTATAACTTACTGTGTGACCTTCGGTTAAAAATTTCTTATTCAATCTAAAATCTCTTACTCTACAAGATGAGGATAATTTCATCCACCACGTGAGCTGCAGTGAAGATTAAAGACGACGACGGGTACAGAAACTAAGAGTCAGGCACACAGCAGGAGCTCAATCAAAGGCACAAGTTCTGCTCTGGTCTCGCCGGACCCCTGCCCAGCCCTCCCTGACCCTCCTCTACTCTTGTTGCCAATACTGGCTGTTCCAATGCTTCTCTGCTGGATCTACTCAGCATTGAGAAATGGACTAACAGTTCCTTACCAGCACTAATGAGTTAACAGTATATCAGGTAAAAAATGTACATTTAAAACTACTTTCCTTTCCATTTAGTTACCTCAACCCACATTAGTCAAGTCTGATCTTTATAAACTTGCAGAATAATATGCAAAGTAGAGGGTCAGAGCAGTAAGGGTAAGTATAATCTACTCTATTCATCCCTTTACTTGTACCTCAGGAAAATGAACCAAATCGTACACCAAGAGAACTGTGTACTCAGTCGTCCTCTTCAGTGACCGGCTTGAAGCGAGTAATATTTATGCCGAGTCAGCTACGCAGAGGCACAACCATCTGGTGGAGATTTGAATGTCTATTTGAACCAAATCCCTTGCTTCCCAAATATGTACAGAGGAGGACAAGATTGCTGGGTTGGAGGGAGAAGGTGGACACTCGGGTTACAAATCCCTTCAACTACCTCTCTTTCTTGACTCTGGAAGTTGATACGGAGAGGGGAGTTGGTAAGAAAGTGTAGGCAGCAAATATACACACTGTTATTACTTATTCTTAATAACATTCAATCTAACTTATTACTGTATGCAACTAAAACTTTAGTTGAAAGTTGTCTGATCAACTTCTGTTGGACTTCTATCTGCATTCTCACCCTTCCCAATCTCTCTGCAGCACTCAAAAGTCTCCTTCCGTGGCTGGTAAAATACAACATTCTCCTGATTATCCACTGTGCCGCTTTTACTTTCTCTTCTCTGTTCAATACCCTTAATTCTCCTGTTAATGAAAGAAAATGATTCTCTGATCTTTTCCCTCCATATATTCTCCCTCATCAATTTAATCCATTCCCATGGTGTCTATTCTCTAAGTATACGTGATCTCAAAACCTTTCTCCCTAACTCCATTCACGATTTCAAGCTCCATAGCCATTTCCAATTTCTTAAATATCTTATCTTATATTTATATATATTTATATATAATCACTTTTATGTCCCTCACTCCCCTACTTTCAACAAAAATCAGATACCTATCTGTATTTCCTATTTATATTAACAACCTCATCATTCTCCCAGTCATATATGCTGAAAACCAGTGTCATATTTGACATTTCCTTCTTTCTAATGTTCTAAAAACATGCAATTCCCAAATCCAACAAATTCTACCTCTGTAGTATCTCTCCTACCCTCCTATATTCCCATCGCCATTACTATAATTCAGATTTTTAGCATTTTCCACATAGACCATTCTGAAGACCTTCTTAATTGGTGTCTTTTCTTGCTAAATTAACCTTTCCAAAACACATCCCAGATCGTGGCGAGTGGGTTCTCACTGGCTAACAATCCAAACTTTAGTCAGAGAGGCACTCCGGGCTTCAGACCTCATCTTTCTTTCCATTTTATTTCCTACATATGTTGAAGCCAAGTAGACTTCTCTCTGTTCCTGAAATATTTCCTACATTTTACCACTTTTTACTTTGGGGTTTATAAAGTTCCCTCTATCTAAAATATCTCTACCTATTCTCTTCACCAACTTTCTACCCATTCTTCAAAGCTGAACCCAAATGCCATTTTCTCTGATGCTCTCTCGTATCTTCACCAATGGATGGCATTTCACTTCCTTCCTTAAAAATCTTTTAGTATTTTATGTGTACTTCTGCATCTTTGCCTGTTGGCATAGTCAGAATTTACTCTCTCTTGAAATTGCTCTTCCCAATTTCCAATCAAATTTATCTGTTTTCCCCCCACTCTACTGAATCTGTTCTGGGCTCACAGTAATCTTCGATTTTTTAATAGCAATAACCAATGATACAAAAACCAATCTCCTAGTCTACTGTATCTTCCATTATCACCTGGTCATCTCCCCATCCTAAATCTCAATGACATTTTAACAATAAGGATATCTATCTCAACCTGGATATTTCACAGACACTTCAAATTCTGCATGACCAAAACTAAATTATCTCTTCCCACAAACTTGTTTCTCTAATGCTCTCTAAATAAAAATCTTGATTCCTCACTCATTATACACATTCAGTCATTCTTCAAGATATATTGAGACCATCCCTAAATATATAAATTCATTATCCCTAAATTCACTATCAGTGAGGATCTCATCACTGTTTTATAACTGGTCTTTCTGCCCCCAGCAGCTCCTACCTCCAATTCATCTTCCATTACAATAGTTAAATAATCTTTCTTAGATACACTGATCTAAAAGTGCCACCTTGTTCAGCTTAAAGACCTTCCAGGACTCTATATTTCCAATAAATGTCCAAACTCCTGAGCACGGTAATCAATCCTATTACCTTCCCGTTCTCCAAACACAGATTCTAAATTAAAGACACTGAAATACACTCTTCTGCTTTCACGCAATCACTATTCTATGGTTGTTGAAACAGTTCTCACTTAAGTCCAGTGCACCTATTCTGTGAAGACTGAATGAGACTTCCCCATATCCCCACCTCCCAAACAAAGTCTGAGTCACCTCCTCCTCTGTATTTCTACAGTACTGTGTTCATGAAACTAACAGACCACTTATCACATCATATTACACATACAGTCATGGTCTTCCTCCTTTAGTGTGTGAGCTCTTTCAAATAAGCTTGTTTTATCTGCTTTGTTATCCATAGTATCTAGTATGGCATATATAAAAAGCTTTCAATGAATGTTTATGAAACAAATAAATCTAATTTTAGAATTCCTAAAATCATCTACCCTGGGTGTTTTATCAAATAATTTAGGGTAAAGTGGCAGGAATGTACAAGTGGGTCTTACACATATAGGTTAAATAAAATGACAAAGTTGATTCCAGGACACTTTGACCAACCAGCTCCAGAGGTTAAGGCTAGAATAGCCACTGAGATTATGCTTCTCTACTCACTGCATCTGCCACAGACACAGAGCCATACTAGAATAACAGGACGATAGAGAAGAATCAAGACAGCAGATAAGTGTAGGAAGAAGTAAATAGGGAAAAATAAAAATCCTAAACTGAGGCTGCAAAAAAGGGAATTGCCCAAGGTCACATAAAACTCAAGGCTTGCTCATGACTACTCATTATCATCGCCATCTCTGTTTTCACGATCCTCATCTACAACTACCATTTACTGATCTCTTAGCTATTAGGTGCCAGACAGGATGCTAAAAACTACCACATGTATCATTTAATGTTCATGACAACCTTAATAGGAAGATATCATCCACATTTTAGAGACAATAAAACAATCCTATAAACAATTAACTCTATTACACAAGGTTTCACAGCTAATATGTTAAGTCACAGAGCCAGAATGTGAACAAGGGCCAGGCTTCAAAACCCATTCTTTTTCTGTTCTACTGGCCATAAGCCAGAGGTGTATATAAGTTGAGGACTGGCATTACTGCTTTGCATTATTTAGTTATCTTTGTAAGCACATGTCTCATTTTCTCTAGTACTAGAAAGGTATTTTAGAGGATAGAGTCCATGTCTAATATTTTTTATTTCTTCTCTAGTATCTCATAATGATCCTTCTATATAGTAAGCACTCAGGATCTGATTAATTTCTTATCACGCCTATGTACTAGTAGAAATAAAAAGGATGTATATCGATCTTTAATTAGCATTAAGCCAAATACAAAAAAGATGATGTAGCTCCTTTGACAACCGTATATGCTGGAGTAAGACTTTAAGTCATCAATTGTAATCAGCCCTAAAACACAAACCACAGCTATAAAATTAAGGACAGTTTGTATTTTGTATAATAAAAAGATGCTAAGATATACTGCTCTTTTCTTCAGATCTGGGTATAAAGATAATAATTACTATGTAAGTAGTCATATATTGTAACAAGCACATGAACAGCTTACTAAATGAGGACATAAATATGCTTTAATTAATGGCAAAAACTTTTTTCTCTTATAGAAAGATGTAAAAACATGTGAGAGTGGACTTAACTTCTATATAGGTTGAGTTCTAAAGTCAATGTCAGTACATAAGGCAAAAATAAATTAGAGATAAAATAATCCTTGAAAATTCCTTAAATCATCCTCAAAGCATAGCATAATGCAGTACCAGCTCTCAATAAATCCACCTCAGACAGTTCTTCCTCCCATACAGAACAGATCACCATTTCTTCTGCTGTGCACCATGTGAAGTATTTGGCTCATGTTTAGGGGCCATATTGAATGAGAGAGCATACATTCACACACTGGAATCATATTCAACACTGTTAAATACTTAGACTATATCAGTTCTTGTAACAGGTATTTAAAAACTGATGTCATCTGAGAGAACAGATTCACATCTTCCAACTAATGCTTGCTAGGCAGAAGTTTATTGTGGAAAGAGAGCTAGAATTACCACTGTATTTAAATTATTTAGTGTTTTGCTTTTCGGTGTTTTGGTTTTAGTTTTGTTTTTTGGCTTGGGCCCAAAGATTTGAATCCGAATAAATTATATTCCCAGAACTCTGACTCTACCGTATGTGCTATTTGGTTTATTTTGCAACCATGGATACCTAGAATTTTAAATACAAATAATCTAATACTACAGTGTGTCATCTAAAAAAATAATTCACCTATCTTACCTTCATCTATTGATGCTTCACTACTGTAGCCATCATACTCTGCAGATAGAGGACTATATTTTTGTCTTGTTTCCCAAGTATAATTCTTTTGTCTGGAATCTGCCAATGGTAGTCTGGAATTGTGTGTTCTGGATAAGGCTTCATGGTATTTACCCAGTGCTTCATCTTCACTCTCAGAGGATGAACCATGCTCATCTTTGTCCATGTAGGAATTATCTATTTGCAATGACAAAGAAAGCACATCAAATTGTAATGCAATAAACTATGATGAATTTGCAATATATACACACCCATATACACAAAGATATATATGTCATATATACCCATATATACACACAAATATATATAAACATATATATACAAATACACACACAATCTGAATTTTCAGCATTAGAGAACTATAATTTTTTAATTTAAGTAGGCTAAGATTTAAATATTATGTTTTAATAAAGATTGAATTGTTATAATTATATAAATAACGTTAGTCACAGAGGTTTTCCGACCATGTTAAACATAAAGAAAATAAAAGAACTCGCCATCTTATGCAACTGTTTTTAAAGGATCAGTAGTACGCAAAGGTAGTTATAAGTATTGCCAGTACATATAGACCTGATTCAAATAATTCATGATACGAGATATTTCTGGTTATCATCTCGACCAAAATTTTCAACACTGGCAATGCTTAGTGCTAGGACTGCAACAGAGAAATGAGCAGACAGATATTATTGGTGAAATTACAATAGGTCAAATTTTTCTAGAGAGCAACAAACTTATAAATCTGCACGGTCTTTGATCCATTTGTAGGAATTTACCAGTTCCATTTCTAAGAATTCAGCCTGAGAAAATAATTAATAGGTGAGCAAAGATATGTATTTCAAACAATTTACTGCATTCTGTTTAATAGTAAGAGAAAATATAACCTAAACATCCATCACTGGGTCTTACGTAAATTATGAATGATATATCTATGCAATGATATACTACACGGTCATTAAAAATGAGGTGAATTTACAAGTACTCACAGGAAAAGAATTTATAACATCATGTTAGGAGAAAAGAGAAGGCTATAAAATAGAAGGCATATTTATAGTTTCATTGAAAAATATGTATATACACGCTTACATGCAATAAACACACCCACACATGCAGCATATATTTGTATGCACATACAAAAATGTGGGGAAAACTATACACCAAACTTTATCTGCGAACAGTAGAATTACCAGGAAAATTTTCCTTACATATACCTAAATTTCACATAAAATTTTTAGGGAGTATAATTTTATTATTATTTTTTAAAGCACTAGTTATTATCTTTTAAAAGGGTAAAAAATTTGAAACTGCAACATGCCGAGAAGCATTTAAACTAAGATGTAACCTTCTTAGAATTGAAAATTAACTCTAGAAGGATGAAGAGACAACAGAAGGTAGAATTTATGAGTTCAGTTTAGATATTTTTCTCTTTATACTTAGTTGAGATCATTTGTACTAAAGAAACAGAGGTTTGAAATTCAAGTGGGGAGACAGAATAAGTAATTTTAAAATGTGGGATAGAAACTGAATGTTTGGAGTTAGAAGTAAAGAAGCCAGGATGTCACTAATCTAAATCTCACTTTTTAATTCAGTTAAATAAAACCAGTAAAATAAAAGGGTGAAAATATAACCAATGTCATATTTTGCATTACCCAATGTGTAGTCACTGGCCACATGTAGCTATTCAAACAATTAAAAATAATAAAACTTAAAATCCAGTTCCCAAGTGCTAACCAGCCATATTTCAGGTGTTCAATAGCCATATGTGATTAGTGGTTATTATATGGAGCAATATGGATATACAGAACTTTTCCATCATTGCAGAAAGCTCTATTGGATGGCAGAGATGATGGCAGAGATGATGGCAGAGATGATGGCAGAGATGATGGCAGATCTGGTCTAGAACGCAGGCATTGTGACTCCCGGTTCAGAGATGCCGGCACTTTGTGGATACCATGGTGGTGGTCTTAAAGCAGCAGGAGAGCACTGAGGACAATAACTAGAAATTCTACAGTCACACTTCATCTATTATATAATACCACCTAGAGAAGCCCTGCATTCGGAAATAGAGAAGGAAATGCTTCCTCCTCTTTCTGTACCTTATAAGCTCTACATCAGAACCTAGAAAACAGGAACTAGTAAATTACAGTTCAGCTATTCGAAAGGATAATCTATGGGTCAAATAATTTTTAAAACAATTTCTAGAACATAACATGTTTAAGTTTAGTCCTGACTATAATCTGGAAAACTTGAGAGGTATTTGGTTTCTTTAGGTACTAGCAGGCTTCTTAATAAAAACAAATCAAAACGAAATTAAAAACTCTATATTGCTACTTGTGAATTATTTATTACTAACTAGTGTATGTTCTACTGTTATTTTCTGAATAAAATAATGTATAAACTATTCTACTTAATTTTGTACGTTTCTTTATTTTTGCTACTTCAAGTAATAAAACTACCAAAAACCACTGCAGATACCAAAATCCAAGGATGCTCAAGTCCCTTATATACAGTATTTGCATATAATCTATACACATGCTCCTCTATAAATAATCTGACAATTTATAATAATACAATGTAAATGCTACATAAAGTTGCTGTACTGTATTGTTTAGAGAATGATGAGAAGAAAAACAGTCTGTACACGTTCAGTACAGATGCAATCATCATAGGCATAACTATATACAAGTGTGCATTAGCAACAGCATAAAATTAAAAAAAATTTCGATCTGTGGTTGGTAAAATCCACAGATACGGAATCACAGATATATAGAGTTGATTGTATTTCCAAAAAATGGCGGTTCTTTTTAGTTAGCTCATTCATTCTGGATAAGCCTCTAGTACATCATTTAAAAAGTATTATATAATTGATAAACAGCAGATCTCTACTACATGTAAAGTCATGTAGCAGAACTAAAAAAGTCTTCCTCATATCTACTGTTACTCAGATTTTTGTTATTTTATGAGAATCTAAAATTATAGAAAAGTTCCAGGTGCATATTTTGTAAATAAAAGCCAGTGTACTTTTGACCTTATGATCAGATCAGCAATAAATGGAAATGACGGTATTACCAGAAGTAATTACTAGCAGTATGAAGCAATTCTGCAACCAAAACCAAGTAACTGTTGGCTAATTGTTTTGAAAACTGTCACAAATATTGTGATTGAAAAGTACAAATGCTTAGCTGGAATCTTAATTCTACACAGAGAACTCATGAATAATAATAGATTTGTTCACGTAAACACACAATAGACATATAAAATTCTTAATGTATGGCTAAATGGATAGACACATATCCTGAAGCATGTTACTTAAAATAAAATCTGCTCTGAAAGAAAAAGATAAAACAGTTAATATAGATAGTTACTGGGACAGACTTGAAGAGCAACATTGTATAAAGGATTTTGGTGTTAGTTACAAAAATATAAAATTTTAAAATGCAACTATTGCACACCAAATAAACTCCAACTAAAGCATGCACGCTACTTAAGAAAACCATTGAGTTTCTGGTTGTAAAATAAATGGACATTAAAAAAAATTAAGGCTGATGAAAACTTGGCCAAATAATGTAGGAACCAGAAGCAATACTTAACTAAGAGGTGTACAAATAATATAAATGGCCTTGAAATGACCATGAGAAAAAAGAAAAAAAATAAATTACTTTAAAAAAGTCTTCCAGTAAAGAAAGTCTTAAAATAGATATATAAGCATGTAACAGGAAAATTCAGAAATGTGGATGGTGTTTTCCTAATTAAAAAAATAAATCAAGAGAAATTTTATCACTCAAACCCACATTAGGAGACCTCACCTTTTTCTGGTATTATCTTAGAATATTTTTCATCTCTACTCTTTGCTGTTTCTTCCTTGGCAGAAATGGCTTCATTTTTCTTTGTTTTTATAACTCCTTCCACTTTGTAGCATTTTGTTGGATTTATTTGTTCTTTGATTTTTCCATGTAACTTATCTTTAGAATTAGTTGATGGTGCAAGATACACGTCTTCTTTCATAATGGGTTTCTGTATCATCTGTCTATCGCTTGCCAAAATATCTTTTGGAGAACATTCATTTCCTATACGCTCATTCCCCTTGGATCCTTTACTTTTAATATGTTTTTCAGCTTTTCTTATATGATTTTCTTTCATTTCTTGATACCTTACCTCTTTTAAATCATTCTTACCATGACTGGAAATTCCTAATCCGATTTTTTTATATCTGTCAGTATGTCCAAGCTCTTGAAAAGTAGATCCAGCCTTTGCATTCTGTTTGATAACTGATGTCCTGCCATCACTCACATGGTCTCTCAAAGAATCACCAGCATTATCAGTCTCTTGATTGTCTGACAGAGTCTGCTGCCTATCATCAATATGTTTAAATATTCTTCCTTCATTTATTCCTTGATCTTGCCTTTGTGAAACTGAAGTACTACAATAAGCTCTTTGATTTGCTCTGTGCTCTAAATTGGATTGTGTTTTCTGACACTTAGTGTTTTCGGAGACTTCTGGTGACACGGCATTTCCTTGTTTAGAAGTATCGACAGCTTCTGCTGCTGCAGAGCTCTCGTCTTCTGGACGAAAGCCATTTATCATACTGGTTACCTGTTCAGCAACTGAGTCACTTAAAGCATAGCTGACTTCCCCAACGGCAGTGGTCAAATCTTCTACAACATTACTGATTGTGTCCATCAGAGAAGACATTGAAGGCAGATTCTGCTGAAAATTTCTGAAAAATGCCATTTTCTATCTCCTTGTCCCTAAAAGGTGCAATAATGAAATTTTCTCTTCTTAAAATAACTACTTTGGAATCTGAATTTAACATTTACTTAAATGTCGCTACTCATGAGCTCAATATTAGTATTTCACATTGTGGCTTTTTAAATCTTTCTGTAAATGCACTATGCATTGGCGGAAACATGTTGAAGCAAAGACTCTTCCAAAAAAAGAAAAATCAAACCACGTGGCTTAAATATAATGACACTTTTTCCTACTCCATAGCTATCAGAACAGCAGCAAGACAATATTTTCCCCTCAAATACTATTGGTTTTTAATTCTATACCTGCAAGAAGAAGTATAAAAAGGATTTTTATTATATACTTTTAGTTCATTTATTAATACTTTATATAGGGGAACTACTATATCTTATTAACAAACTACCAATATCATTTCAAATTAAGAAAAATATTAAGGAAAAAATATCTAAACAGTTGTGCAGAGGTTAGAATGAGGAAAGGCAGAGGGCGAACATTTGCTCAGTAGCTAGGACATGCAAAGCATTATGATTTACAAATTGATCTTATAATAACTCTAGGAAGTAGATACTATTATTCCTATTAAATAAGTAAAATAAACCACGGCTCAGAAAAATTAAGAAGGTTCCTGAGACTTTTCCAATAGATCCTCAAAGTCAAAACAATTTTTATGATAACAGTTGAAATATTTAGCTTTGCCACTTCCACTTGCTCACAAATGACACTGCCGTCTTCCGGAGGCTACATGACAAAGTGAATGCAGAAGCAGATATGAGAATCCAGCTGTTTCTTCCTTCTGTGCTGGTGGTTGAAGGGATATTCCAAAAATGCCAGACAACGTCCCTCTTCCCATAACAAATATATTATTTAATTAAAAAGTGTTATTTATATTAACATGTAATAGGCTTATTGCTTTTTTTAACGAATTGATTAAAAATATTTTTTAAAACTTCTTAGTTTTAACTTCTAATATGCTACATATCAATAGATACAACTCACATAAACAAAAGCTCTTTGGGGTCCTCGATAAATTTTAAGAGTGTAAAGGGGTGATGAGACCAAACGCACCAGAGAAGCTGAACCGGAGAATTACTGGAGGCTGCCCAAAGAGATCTCTTTAACCAGTTCATTCTATACACATGATAAAACAGCCGGACTTAAGTATGAGAAACCCTAAATTTAATCAAATCAAAACCACATCCAGTACTATAGTTCCCTAATGCAAGTCAGAGATGTAATTGAACAATGAACAGATTTTTATAAACAATGAAGCTATCATTTTTTTAAGTTATCAGAAGTAAGAGAAGACATCTCTCCAATGTATGTACACGGATAAGAAAAGCAAAGCTCCTCTGCTAGAGCTCCTCAAGATTCTTCCTTGCTTTCATAATTGTCGACTTGCTCCTGCTACCATTTATACAAGCCGGTCTTTGGAAACAGCAAATAAAGAACTCTTTGGATACTTGAAACCCATATAATTTTATTAACTACCGTCACCCCAATAAATTTAATAAAAAGAAAAAATTTTTTAATAACTCCAAAGAAAACCTTTCTGTAAGGGAAAGAACATTACAGCCCTCATCTTTCCTAGTATATCAAGTCATAGTAAGTGATATAATGTCTATGGTGCCAAGGGAGGAAGAGGAACACTAATTTTTTATAATCGGACTTTAACCATATACTAAATTACTAAAGAAAACACTTTCTGCAAACAATAAAATTATCTATCAGCTGAGAAGTCAACAGTAGGTAAAGAAAAGGATGAATACTTTCAAAAGCGTTCTAGGGAAACAGGAAAAAAGCTCTCCAGAGAGTTATTTGGACAATATATTTAATCTATATAAAGCAACAAGATACTTCCCTGTTAAAGCATGTCTACTTATAATCTCAAAAGCAAACCTTATATATGAAAAATAAAAATGTTATTTTGTGAAAGTGTGTAATTAATCTTTATGTAACATATTAGCAATTTGTTAGCAACAGAAAGATAACTGAAAATAATTTACTTAATAGATTTTTTTACTCTCATAGAACAGTGGATCAAATGTTAATTTATAATACGTCAAAACCAACCTTTTTACTATATATTTAAAAAAATAATAGAGTAGTATAGATATAAAGAACAAACAAGAGAAGCAGTGATGATACTTACAAATTTTATCTTGTGAATTCTTCCTTGTACTGTATCCTGAACCAAGATCTGGAAAACCGCCAACATTTTCAAAACAGAACTTCTTATTAATATAGAGAAAAAGGAGCAGCATCAAGATAATAAACACCCCAACAGCTGACAAAAATCCAACTGCCTCTGGAGATACTAGAGAAAAAAAAGTCACAGCTGTAAGCATTTATTCTTCTTTACGCTACAAATAAGAAGGAAACCCCCACAGAAATGTTAGATCACTGCCTTCTTCGAATTACATTTTTAAACTGTCATAGTTCACAAGAGTTTAGTTTATAAAAACAAATTACAGTTCAATGAGTTGTTCGATTAAATAAAGGCATTTATTTAAATCTTCTAAGTTTCCATATAAATTATGTTGAAACAATCTTAAAAGACAGGAGTCTACAAAATAGGCAGTTACGTTTAATTCGTGAATTAGAAAAAATTATTTTCTATGCATGGATATATTAATCAAATTTGTGAGAACGTTTATTATTATTCTTATCTCTAAAAGCTTTAATGCCCCTTATTAAAACAAACTGGCTTCTTAACCTGGTGTTCACAGCTCCAGCCTCTCTTTTCATATTATACACCAATTAGATGGCTCTAATCATCGCCTCAGAATCAGCTATATGTATTACCACACACCTTGTTTTTGTTCATCCACTTCCCCTTGCCTAGAATGACCAAGTCTCGTCTCTACTGTATCCCACTCACCCACTCAACCAACCAGTATTGTTAGAGCAGCAGCCATACATCAGGCATTATCATAGACACAGTTCCTGTCTTCCATGACCAGGCTGGTGAAGACAGTTATGAAATGGAGCAATAAAGGCTACAAGTGGGGGGGAAGAATGGGGGCTGTGAGACCCATGGAAACACTTAATCCAGTGTTGAAAGATCAAGTAAGCATTTCGGAAAGTTATGGCCTGTATGATTATATCTTAAGGAGTAGTAAGAATTAGCCAAGTTAACACTATTCCAGGTAGAAGAAACAGCATGTACAAAGGTCCAGAGACAGGAGATCACTTTGTAGTCCAGAAACTCAGTGAAACTCTTTTAATGATGAACTACCACATTCTCAAGATAATCTGATCTCAAGAGAATACATGAAATCATCCAAGGGGATTTTGTAGTGTGAGAACAAAGTCTTCGATTTCTACAATCCTCGGCAATCCCTCTTTCCTTTCAATGTCTGCATTATTTGTCACTACATGTTATTTGGAGTTAATAGAAATGAAATTTTTGGATCCCCGGTGCCTTACATATAATATTAAGTATTAACTGAGAATGAATCGTAGGCTTCAAATACCCTCTACAACCTACAACCTACTCATTCTTCCTCCACTGCTCAAGTAGCGACTAAAATGTCATCTCCAATATAATTTCTTTAATCAAAAAGAGCCAGGACAATTAGCATCTAACTCTTTTGTGTAAAACGAAGTCACCAACCAGTCAATGAGTGCTTTAATCTCCTAAATTTTCATTATTTGTGAAAGCCAAGCATCCCAGGCATAGAATTGACATGACATTCTACCTATTGAAAGCTGGGGCGACAGCACTGCGGTAGGGGAAGGCGCAGAGGGTGGAGCTGTGAGGGAGGGGCCGTGACGCGAGGGGAGGAGGGGGCGGGAGTGGTGGAAGTGCTGTCTGAGTATCAGGCTGGCGCAGAGGAACAGGTCCTGCTACTAGGACCAAGAAGTTATGCCCAGACGTTAGCCCTGCCCGTCCTGTTATCAGGCTGAAGAATAATCAGGAAAGAGAACAGTCTTTTAATAAAAGGATCTAAGGTATATGACATAAAAACAGTGGTATGCATCAAGCTGGAAGGATGAGGTAAAAATGAAGACAGAATTATCATCAGACTTTCTAAAACCTAGGAATGTCAGAAGCAGGACAGAATCTGGTATAAAGCAGCAAAATGCTCCATATATTTTACGAAGAAGCAAAATGCTCGATATACCTATATTCGATATTACTCTGTAAATAGCAAATAAGTATAGGAGCTCCTTTTAGCTCAGGCCCAAAACACGCTAAAAAATTTGATGCCTTAAGTGAACAAACAGGATTAGAGAAAAGGCAGCCTAAAAAAAAAATCTTCCATTTCTTAGAAAACTCAATGAGAAAACATAGCTCACCTGATTTAAGAAAGCTAGTTATTGCTAATAAAAATAGTAACAAGCACATATAGCAAATATTATGTGCTATTTATTGTTTTAAGCACTTTACGTATGTTAACTCTTAATCTTCACCATTATACTATTATAATCCCCATTATAAATTGTGATATGAAGAAATTAAACAACATGCCAGCTATTAAGTAGAAGAGTCAGGATTCAAACCCTGTCAGGCTCCAGAGTCTGTCCTTTTAACTACTGCTCATACTGCTTCTCCTGGTTTCCTTCTCTCCTTCCCTTTTTGCCTCTTCCTATCCTGTGCCTCAATCCTTATTTTTGTGTTCCTCTCATCTCCCTCCTTCCCACTTTAAAATTTAATCTAGGTAGAAAGATCAACTATAAACAAGTATGATATGGTAAGTATTATCACAGAGGTATGAATATAAAGTATTACTGGAACATAAAGAAGAAATAATACCTGGGGAAGTTACAAACACTTCAGAAAGGAGGTGACACTTGAGTTGGGCATGAAAGATTAATACAGTAAAGGACAGGTAAAACAGCATGGTGAGAGACACAGAAACAATGTGCATGCAGTCTATGAGCGCTAACGGGCGGCAGTCATGGCTGTGTTATTGACTTGTGCATTCTCAAAGCACCTGGCACAATGCCACCTAAACATCTGTAAATGAATGAATGTGTGTTCAGGGAAGATCAAGAATATACCAGAGGAGCTGTAACTGGAGATGAAAGCAAGGTCCAAACTGTCAAAGAACCTTGAGTGCCATCCTAAAGATTTTGTACTTGAACTACTTTCCTTAAAACAATGAGAAAACTGAGATACGACAGGGAATAAACGGTGGCAAAATGAGTTCTTAAATCAAGGAGTAATGGTGATGACAGAGATGTGAATTCTAGTCTTTGTTCAAGGAAAATTTATAATAACCCAATTTATTAGATGTCGAGGACATGAATGACGAGAAGTTTAGGATAATTTTAAAGTTTCTAGCTTCAGTGAGTAACACCCTTAACAAAAATGAAAAGATATGAGAAAGGTATGTGGTTTAGGGAATGGGGGATAAGAGGAAAACAGAGAGAGAAAGGTGGATAATGAGTTTTGTGTCTGACACGTTACATTAGAAACGTTAGCAGAACGTTTCAGTGTAGATGCCTAGTAAAGGGAGAGAAATATGAGTATAGTGTTCTGGTGAAAATCAGGTTAGTTATAAAAGATTTGGGAGTTTTCTCTTCTGCTCATCTTATTCCATGTGAAAGATTTCACTGACTAAATACAAACTGAACTGACAAATGATTGGTGCTAAGCTTTATTAATAGTAAATCTCTTACTTTACAAATTTTTAGATAAATATATACTGTGACTTTG